GAGAGCCTCCCTTCCCCAGCCACCCTTCTCTCTTGGATCCCCTGCTGTGATCTCCATCCACCATGTCCCACAGCCAGAAATGCAGTTGAGACTCCCATCTAAAAATACAAAAAATCACCCCTCAGCACAATCATTCCCTTCCTATCCAGCCTCAGCTCCGTTCTCATTTTCCTTCCCATTCAAGCTTCTGGAGGCACGCTATCTCCTAAATGTCAGTATTTCTCTTCTCCAGTTCCTTCTTACCCTGTGTCTGGCTTCCGCCCCCCTCTTTCAATAAACCACTGCTGGGTGGAGTCGTCAGAGCATGTAGTTGTGCAAGTCCAATCAACCCACTTTTTGTTCCTACCTAATTTAACCTTCATGTTAAGTTTGTTTTTTGGAACCATTCTCTCCTTAAAACTATCTCCCTTTGTTTGGGGGGCAGGCAAGGCCTGTTTCTTTTTCCCTTCCCTCCCCTCAGGCTGTTTCTCCTCATTTACCACGTGAGGAGGCACCTCTTTCACTTCCCATTCCTACTGCTGGCTTAGGCCCTAGGTCCTCTCCACCAGTGGTGCTGTTATAGGGCAGCCCCGATATTGACGGGTTCCTGGCTGTGGGTCCTCACCCTAGCGCTTAAAAGGGACTTATGAATACTCCACTACAGACACACACAAAAGGTTAATAAAAGGTTTATTTACAAGGGAAAGGGAAATGAGGAAATGTACAACTCAGGGAGAAAATAGGGAGATAAAGTCTTTAATGCGTCCTACCCGATCCGTCGACCTGGAAACCCAAAAAGCACTCTCAGAGCTGGAAGCTGCGAGCTGGCGGAGAGCCAAAATGCGGGACCCCTCCAAAGCCCACGTGTCTGGCTTTTATACCAACCTGGCTGCTTAACCCCACCCTCAGGTCCCAGCCACCTTCCCTTTGGTGGTGATGGGATTTGCAGTTCCCAGTGTCTTTGGCTTTGGCCTGGGGTGGGGGTGGAGTCCACAAACCCTGTATGGAATTAGCTTTAAGACATCCTTTTCCCCCTAACAGTTCTATTAGTGTTTTCACAAGATGTACCCCAGACGCCCAGGCTTGCACTCTCTAAAGAGATCCAGCCATCAGTGGGCCCAAAGACAAAGGAGGCTTTTCAATGTGAAAGTGTTAGGAGAGTGGGTGCTTGTGGGTCTGGGTGTGCATGTCAGTTGAGGAGTAACAGCCGCCACACCAAATGTGCGAGCAAGCAAGTGTGGGTTTATTGAAGCAAGAGGAAAGAATTCCTGACAGCAGGAGGGGTCCAAGGGAGGATGCCCGTTTACTCATTCCTGTCTGTGACTTTATCTTGTCAGACTTCCTGTTGACCAATGCGCCAGACTATTGATTAGGCACTAGGTGGTGGGGAAGTTTCATGGTGGTTGTTTTCTGTTCCCTAATTATCCTGTAACCAGATCTTACTCTAGGTGGGGGCCAGCTGAGCAACATTTCAGCAAAACGCTTCTATTTTCCTGGGAGCAATTTTGTTTCTCCTGTTCCTATATTGTTTAAAACCACTGTCCCGTGTCTCAGCTTTTCCTGTTCCCCAAGTTCTCCCGGTCTCAGTTCCTCTCAATAGAACTTTAACGGAGTCAGTGCACAGAACGAGAAGAAAGAATATTCCAGACAAAACACCTGGAGTTACCCGTACCGTCATGAGTAAATGTCTAGCTAAACAGGTTGGCCCGGAGCAGGGTCAACAACTTGCCACAAGTCTCAGGCACCCTCTGGGAGGAACCAAGGGAAAAGGGTGAAAATGTAACAAGGTGGTCCCCAGAAAAAGGGGAGGTTCACGTGTCTCTCTGCTCCAGGTGCCTCCTGGGGGCCACCTTATTACAAAAAGTGGCAGGCAAGTCTGCGCCGAAAGTGTTATAGAGCAGCCCCGATATTGAACGTGTTGCCTGGCTGTGGGTCCTCACCCGCGCTTACAAGGGACTTATTAAAACTCCACTACAGGCACACACAAAAGGTTAATAAAAGGTTTATTTACAAGGGAAAAGGAAATAAGGAAAATGTACAACTCAGGGAGAAAATAGGGAAATAAAGTCTTTAATGCGTCCTACCCAATCTGCCGACCTGGAAACCCAAAGGCACTCTCAGAGCTGGCCGGACGCTGCGAGCTGGCGGAGAGCCAAAATGGGGGGCCCCCAAAGCCCACGTGTCTGCCTTTATATCAACCTGGCTGCTTAACCCCACCCTCAGGTCCCAGCCACCTTCCCTTTGGTGGTGATGGGATTTGGAGTTCCCAGTGTCTTTGGCTTTGGCCTGGGGTGGGGGTGGAGTCCACAAAGCCTGTATGGAATTAGCTTTAGGACAGCCTTTTCCCCCTAACAGAAGGAACAAGATCAAATTATAAATCAAGATAACCTGACAGCTGCCCTAGTCAGCATCCCCTCGTGTCTCCTCCCCATGTTTCCCCTCCAAATGTCTCTACCTGTCTCTTCTTTGTGTGTCTCCTCCAAGTCCCTCAAGTTCTTGGTGCAAGTCCAAAGTCAAGAAGCAGGGGGGCCCTTCTCCATAAGTCTTTCTGCTGTTATCCATGTTATATATACTTCAATGGGCCCCTCTGCTCCACCCCTCATTAGTGGAGGGGGGGCAGGGAGGGAACAGGGTGCCTTCTTTGACATTTTCTTAAGTATGACCTGGAGCCATTTGTATCAGAAACACCTAAAGAGTTTCTTCTGGCTGAAAGTATGAATTCTTGGGGCACTAGTACAGAAATATTGGCTCAACATTTCTGGAAGGGAACCTGGGAGTCTGCATTATAAACTATTTGCCCTGAAAATTTTAAAGCACATAAAAGTTTGAAAACAATGGCTTTACGGACCTTCCCTGGACCACATTCCTCATTCTCATATTTCTCAATTCATGGTCCCCACTGCCCAGACCATATCCATTATTTTCTTCCTTAAAATCCTTCACAGGGCTCTTCACAGGGCTCTCAACCCTAGCAAGGGAGGCACTGTAGGCCTTTTGTGATTTGGTCCTTGTGCAGCTCTGGGCGGGGTTTTCCCTCTCTCCTTTCAAAGGTCCCCTGCATTCCTGGTTAACCCTTAATATACCTCCTTGCTCTGGGTCTGGCTGTTTCTGTTGTTCAGATGTCCTCCATCAAGTTTCCCCTGAATTCATCTTGGAGTCTCAAAAACCACCTTAAAACATTCTACTCTGAAACTGCCTTGAGCTTCACAGTTTCATTCGGTTCTACTCTTGCTCTCAAGTGCCCCAAGTGTTAAGACTTTCTGACTCCCTGCCCCCCACCATTGTTTTTGTAATGCAATTGCCTGAATTAAGCTTTGATTGCTGAGGCACCCCCTTCAAAGAGGCCACTCCCAGGACTAGACAAAGAATCAGGTCACATCCCCACTCTCCCACCCCCAGTCTCCTTTGTTTTAGGAAACTTGTTTGATTTCAGTAACTGACCTTCTGGGCTACTTGTTTTAGCTCTTCTCCTGCTTTAAATTTCCACTCTAGGAACATCTCTCTTGGTGCAGCAGGTTGAGTGCCCGTGAAGCTGTCCATAGCCTCTGCAGCGCGGGTTCGAGTCCCAGCCAGTCAGGGAGATTTTTCCACATGGCGAGCAGACCTCTCCTGCCTGGCCTGCTGCTCCCCTCAGCAGTGTATTTTGGTCAGTCTGCCTGTTCTGTTCCCTGCTCTGTCTCTGGTGAATTATCTCACCCTCCTGCACCTCTGACTGTACCCCAGTTCTTGTATAAATAAATAAATCTTGAAAAAAATAAATTTCCACCCTTTTAAATTCACCAATAGCGGGAACTCTTAAAACCCTGGGTTCCTGCATCCCAATAAAAGCAGAGCTGTCTCTCTCTTTGCTGTGTGGTCCTAGGTGTGCTGTATATTTTACAGGTCCTGTAACTACACCTTCTTTCTCTTAAAGTGTCTTGATAGTTATTGCTGAAGGGCCTCTCACTGTCGTTATAGAACCGCAAGGACTGGTACAACTGTAACAGGGTGGTCCCACCCCCACTCCCCCCCTCCCCCGGAAAGAGGAGGTTCCAGGTTCCCTGCCCCACCCAAGGGAGGGTGGAGCTGAGCTGGGAGGAGGGGAGGCTGCAGAGGAGACTGAGAAGGAAGGAAGCCGAGAAGGAGACCTGATGGAAGCACCTGGAGCAGAGCGACATGTGAAGAGACTGTGCTTGCTTCTTGGTCCTGGACAGGTTAAAATAGATGTGGGTGAGAGACTGGTGGGGAGGTCAACAATGGCACTTTTATCTCGATTTTGTTTTTGTTCCTTCTATCCCAGACATGTTGGGCCCCTTTCCCATGGGTCCCCACCAGGAGGTGCCTTAGACTTGCAGCAGACCTCAGTGGCCCTGCTTTGGCCAACCCTTTTTGCCTGGGCATTTACCCATGAGGGGATGGGTAACTTCGGGTGCTTGATTTGGAAATGATATTCTTTGTCTTTTCTTTGTTGCACACTAATTGTATTAAAGTTCCTTTCCATTAGAGATCTATATGTTTTGTTTTGATGCAGCGCATGGTAGAACCCACTTAGAGTGAACAGACTTGGGGGTTTTGGGGTGGCCCTCACCCTGCCCTGTAAATACAACCATAGCATTGGTTATAGATCAGCTGAGACAGTATAAAACATCCACACAGTATCATGATCAGTGATTGATCTTCCTGGGACTCCTACATGACTGGACCTCCACGTGCTGGGACCACCACTTATTCTCTGCAGAGGCACCTTAGAATGCAGAGCAGGAGCACGGTGGTCATGTGACAAAGCAGTGGGTGCTCCCAGCCCACACTCTCCCCTGGGGGATGCATAGCTTCACTTACTTGCTTATGTGTGCCAGGCTTAGCCCCAAGGAGGTGTGAACAACCTCTGCTCCCAAGGATCTCTTGTTGAGTGAAGGAGAGTGGGTAGAGATAACCTGGTTAAAGAATACTGTTACAGAAAGAAATGCAGAGAAATGTGAGAACATAGAGGAGATTCAGCCCAGATTTTGGGTTCACTCACTTTCCCATTCATTTTAGGTAAAGAATGAAGAGGTAGGAAAGGTCAAACAGCAATGGGAAAGAGCCCAGCCTTCCGTCTTGACTCTGCACGGGTGAGCCATGTGACACATCGCTTATACAATCCCTGGGACTCAACTTTCATGCAAGTGAAGGGGGGAGTTTGAACTGAGTTCAGTTTCGAAATTATTGAAAAGATCAGAAATATGAACCTGGTACGCGTGGTGAACCGTTTCGCCACCAGATGGCAGTAGAGGATCTCTTTCAGCACAAACTTGGGCGTGTGCCTTCATTACTGAAATCTCAGCCTGGGGGTGGTCCATGCAAACTGGGAGGGGTGGGTGACACCAGCTCCAGGACTAATCTCTATGTAAGGCTCTACCTACATCCAGACACGTGAGTGAAAACTCTCATTAAAAAAAAAAAAAAAAAGCCAAAAACCTCACTTTTAAAAAAACAACAACTGTTCATTAGGCGTCTTTAAATACAAAATTGTAAAGCAGCCCTCTGCATGCCTGTTGATGCATTTTGGAGGCTACCTTCTGTGGCGGGTGCCATTGATCATAAGAAAGCACCAATGCCCTACCCCTGGGGTTTTGAGGAGAGCCAGGCACTTGAGGGCCTGAAGCTGTAATTCTAGATCCTTGTGTGGCTGGATTTGAATCAGAGATTCCAATGAGAATTTGATGAATGTCAGTGGAAACTCACTTCTAGAGTACTCATGATATATAAGCTTTTCAGGAGCTCTTAGACCCTCTGTCTGGGACCCAGGCTATGGACAATTCAGAATTCTCAGTCTTGAGATCCTAATGTCATGCAGTCCCTCTCAATGGCTAGTTATGCACATTGGCTTCCTCATTTGTAGTAAGACTAAACTCTAGAGAAGTCCTGGGCATGATGAATTCTAAATCTCACGATGGCTATTATCTTTGTAGAGGACCTTGTAAAGATTAGTTAGATGCATCATGATGTGTTTGGGACTGTGTTTTCCGGTGAGCCCTTCGGCTGTCTAGGGAGGCTGCATTCTGAAGCTGTGCTGCAGGGGGCAATGAAAAGCCACTGCCTGCCTGCTGGGAAAGTGCCTTTGTTACACTGCATGGACAAGGAGCTTCTTGCCAGGTACTTAGACACATTTTGAATATTCCCTGTAAATCTTTGTGTTGAAAAGCTCCAGGGATTCTGCCTGCTTTTCTGTGCTCTTTACAGCTGCTCCACACACTTGTGCTTTTGGGGTTCTTCCCTTCCCAAAGCTCGTGGCCTGGAAGCTTCATAGGGCAAGGTAACTAGCAATGACCTTGGGATTGGGAGTCTCCATGTGATTCTGGCTCTGCCATATATTAACTGGGCCTTAAAAATGAAATGGGAATAATGACTCTTCTTTCTTGTTTCATTTATTTGACTTTGAGCTCCTGTTATGTGCCTCTCCTTGCCCCTGAGGACTACAGGTACAGTCATGGACAGACATGATTCTGCATAGTCAAACAAAGCACACAGTCTTTTTTTGGTATTTGGACTGAAAAGTAGGATTTTGTTGAGAATGTTAGCAGGACACAGTGTTTCACATCTCCTGAAGGTTTTCTTTGTTTGATCTCATTGCCCTCACCCTACCTAGTGCTGGGTGCCCACCTTCATGCCCACCCTCCAGTCCTGAATCCTTGCCTCTATTATTATTATTATTATTATTATTATTATTATTATTTTAAGGACAATTGACTTGGTATGGCATTGGGAAACTACTTTGTTTAAAAATGAGGGGAGGGCCTCCCTGGTGGTGCAAGGGGTTAAGCACCGCACTATGAAGCAACCCACAGCCTCTGCAGCACAAGTTCGATCCCCAGCCAGGAAGCTACCCACATGGCGCAGTAGACCTCTCCTGTCTCGTCTGCTGCTCCCTTCAGCAGTGTATTTCAGTCAGTCTGCCTGTTCTGCTTCCCACTCTGGCTCTGGTGAATCCTCTCACACCCCTGCACCTCTGGCCTGCATCGCAGTTCTTGTATGCATAAATAAATACATCTTTAAAAAAAAAAGAAAAGAAAATAGAACCATAGCAGAATTAATGCATGCAGGGGGCTTAAAAAGTACTTGCTTTCTCTACGACTTATGCCACACTCACAAGAACATGCTCAGGCTACATGTCTGCCAAGATGTGGTGGGACCTGGAGAACTCAGCCAATCTGCCAGCTGACCTGCCAGAGACACATGAACTAACCCAGTCGGGATGGCTGAGTAGGCCCATATCAACCAGACAACTAGGTGACTATGGCTTTATGAAACATAACAGGTAGGAAGTTTTAGGGTGATTTGTTACTCAGAAGGACTTAGCTGACCCAATTATGTTCATGCTATTAGCATTCCTTTGTTAGACTATGGTAATGGCAATTCCTGGGTAATTCAATAGTAACTCATCTCCTGAGTTCTAGGCAATATTTTTCCAAACAAGTTTCTAATCTAAGTAATCACATTGCTACTGTACTGAGTTCAGTTACTGCTGAAGAGGTTATAAGGATCCTCTTTAACAGATGAGGAAACTGAGGCTCAGAGAAGGAAACTGACTTGTCCATATCACAAAGACTCAGTGGCAGCCCCAATCAGCCCCAAGACCAGAGGTAACATCTCTAAACTCCATGTCTGAGGCTTTTCCCTGCATTGGAAGTTTGTTAGGTGATTAGGGTAACTAAATCCCACCTCACAATCTGAAGAATCCAGCATGTGCAAAGTTTCCTAGTAGCAAAGCAACAACAGCTCTCTCTTTTCACTGAGGAGCATGTCAAGAGTTCACGTGTCTCTCCCCAAAGGCCAAAAGTGACTGGTGTGTGATTATCCAGTTCCAGGAGACCCCTAGAGAGCTGTCTCTTCCCACATTTCTCAGTCCAGACTTCCTCTGTTTTCAGTTGCTCTGTTGTATTTCTTGGTCTGAGGTATCAGCCCTGCATGCTGGGACAGCTGTCCCTACATTTTAATGATTCCACACCATGATCTATGAGTCCCACTTGCTGGATATGGCCCCTTAGACCTTGCCAGGATTACAGACATTCCCCTATTGAATTCCCAGTTTAATCCCATTTATTTTGTTTCTTGAAGGAGGCAAATGAGAAGGGTCACAAAGGTGACATTATTAAAAAACAATCTAGTTGGCACTTTAATTTAGAATGCAGTGAAGCATTGGAAAGCTGATTGTGACACAGATCCGTTTGGGCGTTGCCTCAACACTTCCTTAAGACCAGTGGCCCCGGCTTATGGATCACACATAGAAAGAGCCCTTGGCTTTCTCCTGGCTGTAACTCAACTTATTCTGGATGTCCTGGGTACTGGCAGTAGCCATGCCCTTATATCGAATGTGCTCTTCTCCACAGAGCTTGCAATCTCCCAGCAAACTGATTTCTAAAAGCCACCAGACAAGGTTTCCTTCTGACCTTACAGCTTCATGGGACAGAGATTCCCACACCCATAGTTTGCATATATAAAGTAATATAATATTAGTAGTGGGAGTTGGGAGACTTTGAATACCCTTTCCCACTCTTAACCCTTCTTCGTCTCTACCCTGACCTTCCCTCCAGGCTGGACAACTCCTCTGGGGAAGGCAGGCTAATGCCAAGTTGCAGCAGAAGTCCAAGAGCCCCTCTGGGCCAGAAAGTGAGCTCTGCCACACCTCAGGTGTCTAGAAATGTGGCATGCAGTACCTCTTCTCTCCCCAGAATGCCTCTCAGGCCTTTGGACACCCACCCCTCTTAATGGGTGGGCTTTAAATCAACTCTGAGGCTATTAGATGAAGCCTGTATGTTGAGGGTCAGAGTTCACTTGGGGTGGGGGGGGTGTGGATGTCACTAAAATTGCATTTTGCTGAGCAATGCATTAGACTTGAGTTATTCTGTTCGGTGTAAAATTATTCAGGAAACTGATTTTCCTGCATAGCATAGACCAGCAGGGAAAGGAGAAAGTAATAATTAGGGATTCTGAGGATAAACCCTTCTCTCTTATTTCTGGGAAATTTGAAGGACATTTGTTTCGACTTTAAAGAACATATATTTGCAGTGTTCATGTACAAAGCAAATAATTTAATCAAACCATCCCCTCTAGTTCCACCCCCACCACCCAATTTTCTGAATATCAAGCTGTCCTGTGGGTTGTGTGAGGTATTTTGAAGGCTCTAGGGGCCCAGTTCTGAAACTGTACTGTCATTTTGAAGCCTCTTTTGCTCTCATGCAAAAGTCAGGAAATACTCTTAACTCCGTTTTCATGAGATACCTAGACTCTGACCATTTCTGGTCATTGCGCTCCACCACCCTGACCTGCACTCTGTGTCTCTCCAAGCATTACTGCAGTTGCCTCCTACCTGTCTCCCTACTTCTACTCTTGCTCTCTAGACACTAGTTTAACAGTTAAAGTGGTCCTCAAAGCATAAATCACATTAAGTCAATTCCCTTGCAACCCTTCCATAAAAAACAAAACAAAAACAAATAAGCTAGTATTCTTTACTGATCATCATGACAACTGACAGTGTGGGGTCTACCCATCCTTGTTTAATAGCATTTACTTGACCAGCTTTTGGGTTTGGATCTAATTCTCTTAATTTCTCTTAAAGATCGAAAAACCTTGGCAGTGAAGTAATAGCAGAAATAGAGAGTTCTTTGAGGTTATTAATTTTTATTTGCTGCTGGCTAAATTGGGCCTGAGGTTCTCCCAAGAAGCACAGAGCAGTGATTTTCACAGTGCCCTGCCAGGGCAGGGCCCAGGGATCCATCCACAGCTGGCACAAGAGAGCAGTTGGAAACTGAAACAGCAAAGTCAACTGGAAATAAATGAGCCTTGGATAAGTTTCATTAACCTGCATGTTTCCTCCTCACCCAAGGTCTTTCTTTTAAGGTGCACTATGTCAGCGAGCTCCTAGATTTTCATGCTACAGAATCTGATCTAAGTAATGGGAAGTAATTTTGATGATGGCTGATAATTATTTTGTGCCAGATATTATTCTAAACATTTTATATTATTCATTCTTTCATTCATTCATTCACTTATTCACTCACTCAACAAATGTTTACTGGGCACTTATTACACATTTAAAAATAAATAAGCAAAACAGAAAAATCAAGCCTTG